CCCCATATCCCTGTCCCTTCCCTCCCTCTCCATTTTACCTCCCCTCCCTCCCCTCTTTTTACCCTCTTTTCCTACTCATTTCTCCAGTCTCACTCCACGTCGAAGAAGGAGTTCTTCATGGACGATGATTGAAAAAAAAAAACAAGTGTAGTGTGCAAAAAGATAAAATACGAAGAAGGGCAACAAAGCAGTTTGTGGGAAGACGGCGCGCGCGCGCGGGGGGGGAGTGTGGGGGGAGTGGATACAGTGGGAAGCAGGGTGGCATTGGAATTTAAAAAGGATTGGGGCATGGAGAGAGAGAGAGAGAGAGAGAGAGAGAGAGACAGAGAGAGACAGAGAAAGAGAGTAAAGAGAAAAGTGCGAGCGAGAGGCGTCGCGGGCTGGCAACGAAAGTGCGAGAGAGAGAGAGAGGGAGAAGAGGGGGGGGGGCATGAGAGATGGATGGATTGTTGACGGGCCACCCCGACTATTTCCTGAATTACGGGACGGGACAGCCACAAGGAGCAGGACATGCGGGCCATCAGCTGGGGGCGGGCGGAGCAGGAGTAGCGAGCGGGACGAGAGGAGCAGAGGCAGAATGAAATTACGGCAAAAACACAAACTCAGGGGACACTCCATCAAAGACGATCGGGCAGAGAGTAATCAATCAGGGAGGAGGAATATCCAAGCATCGCGGCCCGCGCGGGGAGGGGTGGGAGAGGGTGTGCTGGATTAGTGAGAGGAAGAGAGAGAGAGGGGGGTGGGGGGACTGAGACGGCGGAAAGTCGGAGGAGAACGGGGCAATGGCGATGAAAACTGCTGCTTGATAGTGGCGCGGAGACGAGCGCGGGGCGGCCGGGCCGGGTTTGCTGCGGTTGTCTCCGTAAACGTCGTAAAGACGGGGGCGCTGCTGCTGCTGCTGCTTTGGTCCATTGAATTGCGGGCCGAGCAGCAGCAAGGCTCCGGGGTTGCTGCGCACCCTGGGACGGAAGGCTGGCTCATAAAGCCCAAAGCCATCACCTTCCCCCCTCCCCACCCCCCAACCCCCCTCACCCCCGCCACTACCTCATACGCCCCCTGAAACGCGTGCCGAGCTGCTGCTCCATCAAATCCGAGTTTACCGGGGCAACACCGCCACACACACACACACTCACACACACACACACACACACACACACACACACACACACGAGCCAGGCAGCAGCCGTAAGGTGTGACAAAGCTGGCCCCATACGCGTAATGGGCTACACGTACCTTCTGTTTCAGAGCCGCAGGGCTTTTGCGCGAGAGGAAATTCGGAAGCGAACAGTCACAATAATAGGAGCAAACTCTTCGTTCCCGCTCCCCAGCTGCTGTGAGAAACTGACGTTTACCGGTTCCGGCGGTTTCCAAACGTTTTAAATGTAGGGGGGCACTAAAAACCCAAGTGTGTGAATACTTGTAGCTCTGAATGCCCATCCACACACTCATAAGGGAGCTTGTGTGTGAATTTTCCTTTGCAAATTCTGTGTGTGAATTTGCCTTTGAAAAAATTCAATGTGTAAATTTTCCTTTGCAAATTCATTATGTGAATTTTCCTTTGAAAATTCAATGTGTGAATTTTCCTTTGAAAATTCATTGTGTGAATTTTCCTTTGCAAATTCATTGTGTGAATTTTCCCTTTGAGAAGACCTGTTGGGTGTGGTTTCTCGGTGCACCTGCACCCTGGCAGGTGTCTCGCACCGCCCGCAGGGGCGCGCGCTGTGCTGTGTTGTATTTCCTCGACCCAATAACCGGCGGAATTAATCCTTTCGCGGAATTGGAACAAAACAAAAGTTGCAACGAGGAGAGGGATCACGCCGGTGCGTTTGTGGCCTGCCGCACAGTTCGCGTGTGTTGTGCGCACAAAAAGTATATACAGCAGTCCGCGCCCGAGTACAGTCCGCTCGCCGGCGAGCCCCCCCC